CCCGGCCCCAGTAACCCCCATTTGGTATTGGATCTATTCATTTTGGGGTCCGGTATTGCATATGATCGGGGAGGGGATTGTCACCTGGTACCACCCTAGCCATAGCCTATCAAGGCATATGCCATCACTTTCAGGTACCAATTGTGACCAATTCATGTCCAATTGATCTACGCCTGGCTACTGACGCCACTGCACTCCAAAAGTCGAAAGTATTTCAATTTTCGGCAAATTTCGGAAGCTTCTGCAACACCACCAGAATGATGACCTTTTCTTAACATCCTTTTCACCTTTCAGTTAGAATGATGTGCAGAATCAGATTGCGTATTGCTCAAGGTGTGGTTGACCTGTATTTCGGGATCTGTTGAGATCCGAAAAATTGCCAATAAACTGTGGGTCCATTGGTGCCTCATTTTGGGTTGCCATGTCCAAATTCTCAGTAAACTTCTATGAGCAACCATGAGTAACCCATATGTTGGTTGGTTACCCCAATTGGTTATTTCTGAAAATAGGGCACCCATAAACTATCCACTGATTAGTCAGAAATTTCGCTATGAACACATTGTAAACATATAAAACAATGCATAATACCCTCTGGTAAACTAACATAAGTAACATAACTATGGAAAATAGATGAAAATAGCCCATTTATAGTTGATCTCCCTGTAAAAACATGGTGATTTTCCATAGTTTTATTAGTTTACCAGAGCGTGATACATAGGATAAACCTCAGCTGTAACGATCGCCGAGCCGCAGGTCTCACAGCAGTGCTTTTCGTGCTTTTCCTGTCAGCTGAATTTGTACTTTTGGGAACCAAAACAACAACGGATCCAATACCCTCTGGTAAACTAACATAGCTATTGAAAATCACCATTTTTAATGGATAAGTCCACTATAAATGGTCATTTTCAATAGCTACAGTATGTTAAATTACCAGAGGGTACTCCAAAAGGGTTTAAGTGGTTTAACTTTGAGGCTGGTATTTAAAAATGTTTAAAATTATATACTACAGTCAAATATGATCTAAATATGTCGAAAAAAAGGGCTGATGGGAACGTTTCGTTGAAATTGACCATCCGGTGACAGACATGTCTAATTGTCTATAGGGCATCATTGGAGCTAGACGACCTGGACATGGTTTTTGGGATCTTCAGAGCCTCTACGCTCTCCGAATTTGCGGAGAGCATTTGTTCAATCATTGTTTTTCAATCAATCCACGGCAATGAACCAACAACCCTTCTCTTTACACTTCTTTACAGATATGATTTGTCCTATCACATGCCATCTCCCCAGCAGTCCACACACAAATTCGAAAATGATCAAACCTGCCAGGGGTGCACCTTTTCCCTGTGCCCACTGCTGCGTTTCAGCTCAGGGCCTGCTCTTATTGGGCACGGTCCTTGCGGCAACACTACCTCAGAGCAGGGTGGTCGTAACGGCGTAACGTCCCTTGGAGCCTTTGGAGTCAAAATGTGAGAATATATGGCATCGTTGACCTTTTGGATGACTGTTCATAAATATATATATATAATGAGTGCGTGTGTGCGTGTGTGTGTGTGTGCGTGCTGCACATGTTTTCGTAAAAAGGTCAATGATTTATATGAATATTAGATATAGATAAATATGTATATATATATAATATTATATATATCCCATATATGTGTGTATATATCATTTACCGCTTAGATATGACCATATTGATCATGTGACGAGCCGAGGCGCTGTGGCCCACCACTTCCAGCGCTGGCGCTTTGGGCGGCTGCGCCGCGACGCCGGTGCCTGACCGTGGGAGATGGGGGTGAAATGGACACTTTAAAGGGCCATTTAAAGGGGAACATGTGGGAAAGTGTGGGGAAATATGGGAACATATGGGAAAATCATCTCTAAATTGGGTGGATTTGTGGATTTTCCATGATTTCCCATTACCATATCTACTTATCTACTGGTAATTTAACAGTTTGCCACGGAACATGGCCCATCTATAGAATTGATAGAAATGTATACAAAGTTCGACTAAGCATGGTGATTTTCTATTACTGTTCAAAACTACCAGATGATATTCCCCCAAAAGATAGAGAAGTAATCATTGGCAATATGTTAGCAGGGTTCAAGTCATTCTAGTAACTTCTTTTGGGGGATTGCTATGCCTTATGTAACGAGCACATTGTTTGTACAGAGTCAAACATCATCTCATTTTTTGACGAAAAATTATGCGCAGCAACTGGCATCTCCCCCGGCAAAATGGAAGTCACAGCTGGGCCACTGCACATACATTGATGACTGTAGTATGCTGCGTCTGTGAATATATGCTTTTAAAAGTATACGTACATACATACATACATATATATATATATACTGGTTGATGGTTTAAACCTCCGAAAAAATATTAGTCAAATGGGATTATTGTTCCCAATATTTGGAAAAATAATCCAAATGTTTCAAACCACCAACCAGTACATATATATATATATATATATACTGTATGCAAAAACTCTACAAACATAATCAAACATACCTAAGTAATGCCTGGTGATTGGAACTGCGTGGCTACCCCTCCAGGCAGCTGAATGTCACAAGATGTCACTAGTCACTCATCGTCCGCTCAGGTCCGCGATCAGGTCCGCTTGTCTGATTGATTACCCTCTGGTCTATGGAACATCACAATTTTTGATGGTTAAATCAACTATAAATGGCCATTTTCAATAGCTATGTTAGTTTACCAGAGGGTAAATTGATCTTCACTACAAATGATTTGGAATTCCTGGCTCGTGCGGCCATCTTTTTTTTAATGCTGCACTTTGGGGAGGAACAACGATCTAGCACTGGAGAGTGATGGATTTTCCAGCGGTGTAACTCCGCAGGTCACCGACTTTTCCAACCCACTTTTGATTGGTCAAATCATCGTTATCTGGTTGGTAGTGCAATAACCAACTTGAAAAATATGACAGTCAATGTTATCCCATATATTATGGAACATAAAAAATGTTCCAAACCACCAACCAGTTATTGTTGCTCAAATACAATGGCATTTTTCCGGTCAAATCACAGCTCATTGGCTCTAGTCACCTCATCAATCCAAATTGCCTCTATTCATGGCTAGATCAACCCTCATTGTTGGCAAAATAATGTGAACATGCCTCTAAGATTCTTGTTATTGTTGCCGATTGCCATCATCGCTATTACTATGACCAATCGCTATTACTACTATCAAATTGCCATTATATTCATTATATTGTTACCCTCCGGTGATCAAACATGGCAATTGAACACCTCCCAAATATCTAGTTGATCTTCCCATGACAACCTGCATTTTTTACAGCATTTCTATAGGGAATTGTCCATTGCATTCCATTGCTATTTGTTGATTGCCGGAGGCTACACATATATTTTCTGAACCGTTCAAAACATGTATGGCTATTCCCCTGTTCTCCCGCATCCTTGTTGCTTCCCGGCTGGAGCTGGAGGCACGACCTCACCAGGTGGCAGGTGAATTTTCTTAATTAGTAGAACATACACAAAGTTATATAGATAGATAGCTACAATAGCTAGATAGATAGAAAGATGGATAGATAGATAGATAGATAGATAGATAGATAGATAGATAGATAGATAGCTACAGTAGCTAGCTAGATAGATAGATAGATAGAGAGAGAGAGAGATAGATAGATAGATAGATAGATAGATAGATAGATAGATAGATAGATAGATAGATAGATTAGATAGATTAGATAGATTAGATAGATTAGATAGATTAGATAGATTAGATAGATTAGATCGATTAGATCGATTAGATCGATTAGATCGATTAGATCGATTAGATCGATTAGATCGATTAGATCGATTAGATCGATTAGATCGATTAGATCGATTAGATAGATTAGATAGATTAGATAGATTAGATAGATTAGATAGATTAGATAGATTAGATAGATTAGATAGATTAGATAGATAGATAGATAGATAGATAGATAGATAGATAGCTACAGTAGCTAGATAGATAGATAGATAGATAGATCGATAGATAGATAGATAGATAGATATATATAGATAGATAGATAGATAGATAGGTAGATAGGTAGATAGGTAGATAGGTAGATAGATAGATAGATAGATATATTAACTGTATAACTGCAACATTGTGCTCTAATTGTAATGACACATATACATAATCCAAACATCGCCCCAGTTGCTCTGGGTCAAAAACATGGCACCTGGGATGGTAATGCACACTATGTCGATCCATTTGCGGGTGCTTAAGTCTGATCCACAGCCACGTTGGAATGACAAAAAAATGGGATGTTCAAATATACCATCTGGTTATTTAACATAGCCATGGAAAATCATCATTTTTAATAGGTAAACATAGGTAAACCATCTATAAATGGGCTATCTATACCATGGCTATGTTAAATAACCAGAGGGTAACTGCAAAAAATCATCAAGACTCTCCTGCACATGGGCCACTCAGATCCCCTCAGTATGTTCCAATCACATTCTACTGTATTTGGTTGATTCAATGCGGGTAGGTACGTGCTGCAATGGGGACCACCTCATCATTCTGGACTGGCAGTAAATTTCAGAACAGGATGAAACCATATTGCAATCAAAAAGCCAAGGATTCTGAGCAACTTGCATGCCGTCATTTAAATTTGATGAGTTGGCACCTTGATTCGGAATTCCCTCGAGGAAAGTGGATGGCACACAGAGCACGTCTCTTTGCACCTTTTGGAGCCGCGTCTCGTGTGGAGAGCCCAGTTTGGACCGGCTTGTGCGGATGGACATCAAAAAATAGACTCGACTCTTACGTCAACAAAAGAGAACCGGGCGCTTCTTTTTGGCACGTCACACCCAGATCTTCGGCTTGGTGGTTTCAGTGGTTTCAAGCCACCTGAACACATTCATATTAGTCATTGATCCTTGGGGATGAACTCTTTTTTTACATCTTGAAACGATGAAACCATCCAAATGTCGGATGATTTGGGCCAACTTTTCAAACGCGCGCCTCACAGGCCTGGGGCCACCGGAACCATGTCTGGTTCTTGCAGGCCGTCCTGGCGAGCAGGTTCCAACATCCAAACCGTCAGGATCCGTCAGGGTCTGTTGCAATGGTTTCCCCTCACCAACACCACACTGCTTGCATTCTGCCCAGTCGTTTGGACCCAAAAGTTCACCCAGCGACATGGAAAAATGAACGCAATAAATCATGGAAATCTGAACCCAATGAACGAACATGAACGAACAAATATCACCCCCCTGCCTTCCGTGTATCTACACCCCCCCGCTTCATGCATTTCCATCAAATGGATGAGAGGTAGGGGAGGGCAGGTGGTCAAGGTCGGCGACGGAAAGAGGTGTCAAGAAGGTTTATACATTATTATTTTTGATTGATTGAGACATGGGGGGGACCTGCCTTGCACCAGCACAAAACAATATTTGGCAAGCCCCAAAAATGTATTCCTTTGGGGGGTGAGCTGCTACTATGAACTAACTATCAATTCATGGCAAGTTGAAAATCTTAAAAAATGTATGAAACTTAGGGGGGCATATGTTCATTTATTGCAGTAATGTGGATGATATGAGACAATATCAAATTAATGTATAAAATATAGGGTGGACTAGGTGGTTTCTCTAAAACACTGGAAATGTATGAAACTAAGGGGGGGAACTATGTTGTTTCAACTTCAAAAACTGATGATGCCTTTCGGTTGATTTCCACAGCTTCTCTCGATATCTGGCCACAGAAGCAATGAGACCCAAGCAATTTCTAGTCGTTCTCTTTGCAACGTGCCGAAGCCCGCAAAACTTCAACATACTTCAACACACTTCAGCCATCTTCAACCCAAGGCTCAACCTAAAAAAGGCACCCTTTCGGCACCGTACAATCTTTAAAAAAATGTTAGAAAAAACATCATAATATTTATATAGCACGTTTATTCTCAAAGCAACCTTCATGTATAATAAAACTGCGGCGTGAAACTGCTGCTGAACCCCCAGGTGCATACATTCATGATACTTCATCTGCACCCCCCCCATCTCAATTCTCATTTCGCACCCCCCCCATCCCCCCCCTCCAAATTTGGGAATTATTAATGCATTTACCCATGGGGGCAGGTGGCCTCCTATAATTTGGCAAACTTAGATTTCAGGGGGAGGGCCTCAAAAGCGTCATGCTATTTCGTAAGATTCCCCAGGAAAACTCCATGAGCATCAAAGATCCATGGACATGCAAAATCAATGTTCTAAACAAGCTTTTGAAGCCAAATACTGAAAATGTATTAGGAGGACCCCCCACCTCTTTAGGTAATCTCTCGACTCAATTTACCAAAAAAAAAATACAATAAATACCGGTTTCAAAGCGAGGGGGTGTGGAAATGTATGAAAAATGCCCTGCCTCCCCACTTCAATATACATTTTAGGGGGTGGGGGATCAAATATCAAATCATCTTTCACAACAAAAATGCTACAGTTCTGATTTTGATATTTTGGACCCGGAGTTCCCATCTCCCGGTGCCTCCACCTCTTCCTTCGCCGTTGCAGCTTTCCTGCAGGTCGCATCGCGAAATTGGATGCGCCGGCCCAGGCGGATGCAGGGCATCTCCAGGAAGAGGTGGAAGGGCAGGGCCACCATGCAGCTGATCATCACAAAAAGGGGAAATATCAAGGCGTAACCTCCACATGGGCCACCCCGTCTTTTTTTGGGCTGGAAAAAGGATAATTATATCAAGAATAGATGGGATTATATGAGGTTCATCTGCAGTTATGGATGATTCATACATGTTCATTCCCCCTGCGTCATCAAATTTCACAAGTTTTGAGATGTGAGCCTTCCCCAGTCGATCGGGATGGGGGATGATCTCAGCAGAATCATGAGGTCATCACCCCTCAGCGAGTGTGACCAAGCACACAGGCCAAACATTGCCATATTCAAGAGGAAAATCATCCTCCACCAGCAGATATTTTCATATATTTTCGGGATTCCATGTTACATTTCAGGAGGCCTAGATGGGCCTAGTGGGTTTATTCCGATCCTTTCCCTGCGTACATCCGCAATGCTTAAGCTCCGAGCAACGCCACACTGCCCCGCCCAGGGTGGTGCCATTGGACCAGTTGAGGTCAAATTCTTTCATTAAAGGCGCCAACAGGAGCAGCAAAGGAAACTGTTGCACCACCTCGGGAATCGAAAATGAGGGCTTAACATGGCTTAACCACCCAACCACCAACCACCAATGAATCCTTATCATATATTATTGGGGAATCATGGGGAATCTACAGAGATTCTTTTGGAAAAAAGAAAGTTCGGCAACAGAGTTTCTAGAACCATGTGGGAAGGGGGCCACGTAGCAATATTGTCCGGAACAAACAGCAATGAAGAGAAGCAGCTTCCTGGATGCAGAAGAAAACACCAGCAGTCAATCTGGACTGGGTGGGACCTAACAGTCAAAGAACGCACTCACAGTGATTGTTCCGATTTCAATGGGGGTGTGAATGTTCCCTCTAGTGCAAGACTGAGATACTAGCTGACTCATCAACTACATCCCCAATACATGGAAGACGTTTCCAACAGTCCGCATTGGTTGTGTAGTCACTATTCTATGTATACCACCATCCTGCAACTACAAATGTGGTCAACCCAATTACAAACACCTATTTTTGGTGTATGTTGTCAAACAACTCCCCCCTATTTTAACATGTGAGGTAAATGAAACATGGTGTAGTATTGATTTTACGACATTATTTGGATCTGTTTGAGAATGGGGCATACTCCGAATATCTCGAAATAAACTGCTTACTCATAGCTACAACTAAATTTTGCAAAGGATCAAGAACCACCCAAAATGGCAATTTAGGTATGATGGGGGAATGTTTTTGACACTTAACTATCATCCCAACATTTTGAATACTCCAGCTATGGTTAACACTCTCCATTTATCTGTGGCTTTGCAACATCATGGCCAATCTTAGATAGGTTGTATCCCAGCAGCAGATTGAAGTCCGTGCTCATCCACGGTTGACCCGCCAGCTTTTTGCCGTGGGTTTGAAAACTATCCAAGACCCTTCCTTTGTTGAAGGGGAAGTATGATACAATATCTGGATATCTAGACCCCAAGACTGCCATTTCTATGGGGGGAATGTGATGAATATATATATATATTATGGCATGGGACATTAACATCTCTCTGCTCCACCCTAGACGTCCATCCGAGCCGCATAGGCGCTGTAGGACAGCAACGCTAAGGCCTTCCACACCCGGGACTCCAGGAAACGTCGCAAGCAGCGCCATGCTCCGCCTGTTGAAAAAGGATGGAGAGAGGTGCAGATTCCAACTTTCAGTATGGTAATCCCTCCAGATAGAAACGCGATTTACAACGCGATTTACCACGGTTTCCCACTAGTTTAGTAGACTTTAATGGAAATTGTCGGGTGTATCTTTCCCGGGGTTGCTATTCCCGCTCGTATCCAGCTGTACCACGTTCCAGCCGATGTTCGCTCGGTCCACCCATGTCACATCATGTATGGATGTGTGCCATATCAAAACCAAAAGATCAAGGGCACGGATTTATCATTGCCATGTAGGTTTGTCTGAAAAAGGGTAGATATCTTATATACCCAATTCCAATGGGTTATTGTCAAAATGAAAGTGGATATTATTTGGATCTATTTGGTGATACACTCCATGTTCAGACACACCCACCACATTAAGTATCATTAAGTATCATTGAGTTGGCTATCTATCTCTATACTTATACCTTGTAAATCAACATGAATCTGCATGATACCCTCTGGTTATGACTAACATAGCCATGGAAAATTACCATTTTTTATAGGTAAACCGTGAAAACATCCGTAAACCATCTATTTCTATGGGCCATCTATACCATGGGGATGATCCGATCTCCGCACCTGCGTTGAGCACTTGGAAGATGCTTCGAGCCAAGGCCCAGCCGTAGAGAGGTGGCCACAGGACCGCGATCCACTGGACGGTGCTGGGGGGAAACAACCTCGGCCGATATACAGTTCTGGTGGCAAACTCATCATATCTGCAAGTGCATATATATATATATATGTTGTATATATATATATGTTGTATATATATATTATATATATATATTATATAATATATATATATGTGTGTGTTTTATATAAATGTTTAATAATATATATATATATATATATTACGAGATTGGCAGGGGATAGCGCAGCACGGAGCTCATTCTTGAACTTCAGGGATAAGGCCTTTGAACATCTTTGAACTATGTCGCTCCATCTTTAAACGGCCAGTGACGCGTACATCCAGGAGGGAGGTGGTTCGGGCTTCTGTCCAACGAAGCCGGCCATGACCAGAACGGCTCCGGCGCCCAGGTCCAAACTGACAGAGATGGGCCGCCAGATCTTGCGCTGGTCTTCCAAGGAGAAGTGGACAGCAATACCACTGACATAGGGAGACAAACGTGCCAGAGGATTCAAATAAGCGATCCCAGGGGCCACATGCGATTGATCTCTTCACCAGGTGGACCCAGGATGAACCAACCTGCAGGCAAATCTCTGGTGTCAGGGGTAGGTTAGATGTGATCTATCCATTAGCCACATGCTGAATCGTGAAGAGCCCATACCTAGCTGATTGTGCGGTGCATGTCTGGCATAGATATTCTTTCATATCTTTTCAGCCATGAAAATCAAACTTAACCAAGCAAACAGTGCGAACCAAGTTTGGGGCCCTATATGTGGGTCTCCAGACCGATCAAAATCGGGTCATCTCTTGCACTTAAATGTATATTTAAGTGCCTTGAACCACTTTTAGACCCTACTTTTGACCCACCCCTCGCCTCGAAAGGCCACACTCAACAGCGACAGCAGTGCTAGGCATGGCATCGCCCATGGGCGTCGCTGAGAGGTCTTGCGATCCACCAGACAGTCCATCAGGAGGGGAGTTATCAAATAGAGCTGCCTGGAGGATCAGCTGATGTGTTGGTGTATCAAAGAACTGTTACCATCTGTTACCCTCACCCTAATTCACAGTTTGACCATGAAAACCGCCGATTTTTAGTGGAAAGTCATCTTCCAAAGCCCCAAAACTTGGTGGGTCTATGTTAATTTCTGGAAGGCAAGTTGAACTGCTTCAATCCATTCTGAAAAATATTGGGTTTTGCGGTTGCCGTTGATCACGTTGAAAGAAGGCTTCTGCGATGTGTTCAGGAAGCTGCACCGGTTTAGCCCCCAAATTCAAGGACTCATAGGCTACGCAAACAAGGTGTGCTATTTTTTGTTAATAAAGCAACGACATCAACCACCGATATGGATTGATGGTTCACATCCCAGCCATAAAAATGGTGAGTCATTGGGGACCGTATGTGCCCCACAAAAGCTGCTCAGCAAATGGGGACCGGTTGGCATCTCAGCAGCAACGCTCCACAAATGGCAGGTCTGGATTCTTCAAACCTGACATGCGGCAGGCGCAGGCTGACCCTGGCATGACCTAACGCTACACAACAACAGGGTGATCACACGAAAACAGGGGGTGAACTGTGAATCAACAACAATGAGGACATTAACTTTAGATAAACACCTTAGTTTGGAAGCCAAAAAATGGGGAGTTGAGCCAGGAAACTATCCACAAAGAGATTCTGCAGCAGCAAAAGGTGCGTCCAAACCCATTGAGAAGGCAAAGTGCGTGCAGGATGTATACAACTGATCCTCGACTTGAAGATGCTCTACTATCATTGATACATATTGATGTAGCCTAAGGTAATAATATAAAACACACACAGACATATATATATATATATATGAACGTGTAAAACCGTATGTATAAATATGTGTTTCATATTGGGTTAATCATATAATTAGATTTGTTTTTATATCTGCATATGCACACGCATGTACACATGCTACTGTCACTTGGTTGGACGCAGGCACGTCAATGGGAACTAAATCGAGTTATGGCAGCCATTGCTTAAAAAAGAGTAGCATCATGTCAACACTTTACGGATAGCTTCAGATACCCTGACGGTGCCGAACTCCTGGAAGCTGTCATGAAAGAGGACGCATCTGACATCCATGCCCTTTTTCTGAGCACGGTGCAGCAACAAACTGCAATGGAAAAACGTTGCAAAAAACGTTGCTAAACCAGTAGCAGCGAACACCATGCTCGCCAACACAGCTGCACAAACCATGGGCCAAATTCGGCACAGACGCCTTAATAGGAAAACACCATATCGCTCCTTGATGGATGATGACTGGATCTTCTGGTACGCACGGCTCATCAAAAGCCCACTGAGAACAAAGAATGCATCCATACCTGAGCCAAAGCAAGCTACCCTTTGGTAACTGGTAAACTCACATAACTACGGAAAATCACAATTGTTTAGTGGGTAAATCAACTATAAATGGGCCATGTTCAATAGCTATGTTAGTTTGCCGGAGGCTACTAAAAGACTCCTTGGCTGAAAATCCATTGGAAAATCAATGAAAATCCACCATGGTCCAAGGTGCCAGTGTTGCCGTGAAGCGGCAATTGTGCCCACCACTGTAGCTTTAGGTCTTCAAAAACCTAGGGCTATGCTTCATGACCGCTCCAAAAATGGTGATAGACTGGGGTTATGATGGGATTGCGATTTTGGTCATGGAAGAGTGATGAGATATTGATGGACTATTGGTCAAGACCCCCTAGATACGGAACATCCATGTTGAAAGTAGATCAGTTCCGAACGAACAGCCATGGAGTTCCCAAGAGCTCTGACTGCTGGGTTTCAATCTCTGGCTCTGGGAGTAGTGCGTCGTTTCTTGCAGAACCCAAAAACTGGAACGGCACCCTGGAACCCTGGAACCTGCTGTTGGGTTGCAAAGCATGGAAAAATCATCGGAAAAAATTGACTAGCTGGTCCGCATTTCCCATTGCCATGTTTGATTACCATGGTATCCCAAGTAGATTCCTCCAAATATAGTGGCTTGCCAACAACCAGGAAATACAGAACATTCACCAAGTCAGGAAATTCGGGGATCATATGCCCAGTTATATTCACTATGGTTGTTAAAACTCGCAACATTTCCGGTTCAAATATGGTTCAATCGCCGCTTCAGTTCATCCTTCATTGTGGGTTAGGGTTTCCATCCCCAAATCTCGCTGGATCCGTATGCTTAAATCAATACTTTTCTATTTCCGATAAATCCAGTGTTTTGCTGTTGTTGTTTTCTGTAAATCCTTGTAAATCCAAATGTTTGTTACCCCCCAACTAACATAGACCCAACTATTTGGAAGGATACTGTCCTCTAAAAATCGGTGATTTTCATGATCTATGCTAATTCGGGCATGGGTCAATCGCATTTAAAACCCATTTAATAAATCCCATTCAGGCCCATTAAATCCTAACAGGAACTCATCATATATCACCCACGTTTTCCACCCAGACTTGATCCATAGGTCCATAGATCCCCACGTCACCGCACTCCAAGGCACTGGAATCTCTCGGCGTTTCTGCGTTTCCACGTCCCAGGTCTCAACCAACAAGCTGTGCAACGAGAAGACCCACAGCAAGGCCAGCGCCCGCAGGCCATCCAGGGCTGACAGATGACCTTTGCTGGATTCGTAGTGGAAGAGCTGCTTCCTGAGGGTCCATGAAGGGAAGGGATGAAGATATGGGGATTTAACCAATGGAAACATCATGAGAATATCACCAATATATGGGATACTGTACATGTATACTGTATACATGTATATATATATATGACATATATGATATATATATATATTATATATATATTATATATATGACATATGACAGATCTTGCTGAATTGCCGCATTGAACTGATTCACTCACCTGAAAATAGCTGGATGATTCCCCGCAACCTAGCCATCATTCAAATATATAAATGGATGCCACTTCGGGTACCTACCATTTTTTCTACGCCTAGGTAAAGATTTCGTAAAGGCCATGTGAGCTCCCAAAATATGATTAACATATGATTTGATATTACAGTAGTACAGTACCTCCATTTTAGGATTCTGAAACTTCCACTTTGGATGGAGCTTGATGAGTTACTCTGGTTTAAGACCAGGTCCAGGGGGCAACTGAAAACATGTTCTTTACATAATGCAAATTATATATATATATATTATAATATATATATACACCTTATATATAATAATATATAATACATATATATGTATACATATTGGATAAGGATACGGATTGATTTAAGGCAATTGTTAGTCAAAACTTGCTGGAATTGACCCAGGGAGGTAAGCACTGCAACATTTTCCTTCAGCCAATTGACCCAGTGGGATGACGGGATGCAAAACCAATCTGGAGTCGAAACCTCAGCATGAAATGCTTACAGTACCCTCTGGTAAACAGCCACATAGCAATGGAAAGATCCACCATGTTTAATGGGAAAATCCACTATTTCTATGGCCATTTTCAATAGCTATGTAACAAATTACCAGAGGGTAAATGAACTCGTGTTGATGAGGTTCCAAATGGTTTCTCTAGATCCCTAGATCAAAGGACTAGGACTGAAAGGACCGGGAAGACTGGGTGCAACATGTTGTGCACCTTTCTTGCGTTGTCCAAATAATCATGTTCATGATCACCAACATGTGATACTGCACATGACGTGTGTGCATTCAAAAGGACCCCAACATCCCCAACGGTTGCAAAAACCAGAACCGCCTGCTGCAAAAAATATAACTCTGTACAGGGGCAAAACCAAGCCCAGATTCAAGTCATGCAAAGGCCTTAGCACTTGCCACTGAGCATGTGCCATCGTATGGAAATGTTGGTGTTTCGTGTCGGCTGTGAATGATGTGACCGTCAGCAGCAGTTTGCCACATGGTTCCCAAGTGAAGGTGTTGGAGTTCAGATTCAGGCTTGGGCGCGAAATAGTTTGTTCAACACCTTTCAACAATTGAATTACGACAGATTTCGGCACCACAATTGCTTGATTGGGCTGGCGCATTGGCCAGCTTGAGCCCAGCCCCGGAACCGTTACACGATGAGCGTTTCACTGGTTTTTTTGGAGAGGGGTATAGCTCCCAATGTATCCAAGGATCGGCAACATTATCCACCAGGTACTACTAAAATTCATTGGTAGATTCAATGCACAAAAGCAGCACACAGATACCAACATCTCATGTGGGATCACAATCTGAAGCACGGTCGCAAAATAAACAACCATCTTGGATTACCAACCATTTTTGCAGAATATCCAGCTCCATTGTCTGGGTTGAGAAGATGTGCTGGCAACTTTCCAATGTTTGAAATTTGGGTACGGCTTACAATTTCAGATCCAGGAGGCCAAAGATCCTTGTTACTTTTGAGTACTGACCCTCCAATTTAAAAGGGGTAAAAAGTACCCAAATGACTTGACACCATGCCCATGTGGTCCCACAAGATCCAAGCGGTTGATCATCCAAATTGTCATATCATACCATTTTGGTTACATATCCCCATGATATTCCCATCATATTTATCCGTTAATGCGGTAAACCCCATTTTAACAAAATACTATTTATGGTGATTTTGGGTATTGTTTATGATTGGATTTACCACATTAAAACCCCCATATAATGTACCCAAACTCCGCTCGAATCACCCTTTTCTCAGCGCATCATTTGTGCCACTTGGGTCGCGTAGGCCTCACCGACCTGCTGCCAGACGCGGCGTTCCAACGCTAACATCTCGGTAGAGCCGCCGACCCTCGGGCAGGTGCTGAAACATCCATGGCAAAGCCCTTTGGTAGTGAAGACTTCCTACATAAATCTACCCGGGCTATATGTGGTTCTTTGGGGTTCCAAGTGTAATATAAACATATATCATATATTTATATTACTATCAAAATGATATACTATGAACGTATACTAATGTTCATTTTAAAGGTTACAGGTACTGTGTAAATATATTATTTATATATATATATTGTAAATATTGTGCGCATATTATGTTGTTTTTGTGCAAAGAAAATGTATGAACATCATGTGAATGTTATACAATATCATAATCTAGAATAATCTATATAAACATATTGGTATACAATCCAACATTTGATCGCAACACCCCCTGTCTCAGAGTTCCAAGCTTCAAGGTCGTATAGGCATCGCTCATCTGCCGGGACAAGGGTCGCACAAAGCTGCTGCCGGGCGGCCCGACAGCACTGGCCTGTGCAAATCCATGCATACACCCACTATAAATGGAGGTTTCAGCATCCAATATGCGGTAAATTATGGAGAAAGGGCCCACATAGTCAGCTAAATTTGGTTTATTTATAGAGATATCGAGCTAGTTAGATGGGGTTATGAACCAACTTATAACTAGGGGGCCCCTTCCTGTAGGGCTTTAACAGTTTTAAGATGGTTTAATTCATCCTGAAATGGTGATATACCATGAAATGCTGTTTTTTTTTTTGACCCACAAACACAACAGGTCGCTTTCACCACCATAAATGCTATGAGATCTAACAACCATAACAAATTGGACTTAACCATCAAATACACATTGCCAACAGTAAGATGCCCTGCATGTCGAACCACCCATCCGACCTATCCAAGCTTGACCCAGTCAACACCGGTTAAACATGATATACGTAGTATGTATACGCACACCAAGAGTCTATCGCATCGATACTTCAACTCAGCATTTTTAAATGTAGATTGTATATTTACGACAAAATATAAATATACATACACAATCATACACAAATATGTATACAGTATATATATATATGTGTGTTTGTGTATATATATATAATGTATGACTGGGTCAGTGCAAGTTTGTTGCGCTGGGTGGATGTCGTGAACTAGAAGCACACCATGCCTTGTTCTGAACCCCGTACATCCCCCTAGTGAAAGTGTGAATGGGTTACATACTCCTGAAAAATATAGCAAACATAATATAGTTTGGAAAGAACCCATCTCCAAACCTATCTTTCACCCATGACTCTGAGCCAAAGAACAACTTCAACCAAAAGAGTCTTGCAGCGTTTTGCAAGCAGAAGTGGCCAAATCTGCAAAGTTGGAACCACTTTTTCAACATCTTTATTGCAAGAACTATTGGAAGAACTAGTATTATATAATATTCTTAATCAAACACCAGGAAGAACTATAACTATTCACTTCAATATTGTTAGTAACTATAATTCTAACAATATTCATTAGTATAATTAGTTATAGTTACTAACTATTATTATTATATTATAATAGAATGAACTATAACTATAATTATTGTTGCTATTGGAAGAACTCTATTCACTTCACCGTTCCATTGCCACCATGGCTGGCCACCGCTGCCTCTGTGGCCATGGCATCCACCGGTGGCATGGCATTGGCCACGAAGTGTTCCAGGACCTCTGGGGACCAACGCCGCAGGAAGTTCCGCTCGAAATCCTGTGGCCGAAGATAACGTATGCCATGTGAAAGGCAACACACACAAACATCTATATATATATAATATTGGTTTATCTCTATGTATGTTAACATGTGTCTTATATAGAAAATACTACACTATAATATATATATATATGCACATGTAATATGAAATGTAGGAACCACTTGGCGCCCCGTCGTGTCCTCGTTGTTTCTGCTGGCTACGTCAACGATGAGATGTACCCGCGGCCTGCCGTCAAGGCTTGGGCTATGTTCTTTTGGGATGGATCAAAATGGTAAGTTGGTTTGTAAAGGGCTAATATATCATGATTGGTTTCAGCTATAAGCTAGCTATAAGCCAGCTATAAGCCAGCTACTCCATGGTTTAAGTCATGAAAAAAAAACATGTGGGCAACTTGGTACCAAATAATACCAACACTGATCACTGATCCACACCGATATTCATTCCATTTCCATCATGTTCCATGATATGAAAATGTGTCTTTTGTTGTTTTTTTTCGGTTCGCTTTTCTGATTGGCTACTTTGCCATACTTTCAGGGAAATCAGGATGAACACATCCTTATTAAGAAGAAATTCTAGCGCGGTCGACAATGGACTCATCTCTTTGGATGATCCCACTTACCCTGTGATCAACTAACATGGCTATAGAAAATCTGCCTTTTTAGGTTGTAAATAAACTATGAATGGCATTGAATGGCAATCTTCCATGGCTATGTTTGTTGACCAAAGGGTAGTAGTTGAGCGGCCAGTAACTAGGACTATCACTGAGTGAATCGACAAGGAACTCTGCTCCCGCGTTGAAGACGCTGTGGGGCAGGGAGTAGTCTGCCCAGTGCAGCACACCTGGGGCAAGAAACCACTTAAATGGTGGTTAAATGTGATTGACTATGGTGACTATGGTTATCTGATGCTAATTGCTGGTTAAATGATGTCAACCAGAAATTTCAAATAATTTCAATGATGATGGCTAAATATGATAAATGATCCAGGGAGTCTCATGAACATGTACCTTGTGTTAACCCAACAAACCGGGATTCCTGATATTTCCTCGATAAGCGTTGCCCCATCATGTAACCAGCCAAAGCTGATGTTTGAGACCCCCAAAATTGGGATATATGATGGCCCCTACAACCTTTACACTATGTTCCATCAATTTTTGTGGACCCCTATATATCTGGTTTTATGATGTTTGAGGTTGAAGCCATCCCAAATAATCGTGGATTTTGTTCCGTATCTCGGCAACCACCAACCAGAGCTGTCATATTATGCAGCTGCATTCGTACACATTCTTCACTGGTCTGAGCTCAAACAAATATGCTGGAACTGAACTGTTCTAAACCTCCATTGATTCTGGGTTCTATCCATGTGGTTGCTCGAATCCACTTTGATCGGATTATCACCAGTTCAGTGTTGGTCACATCCTAATCGTGTGAGGTCCACTGCTCCCACTCAGAGGATCATCCCACTTAGTAATTAGCTGGTCAATAAATACAATAAATCTGGTTACCAGGTTATATATATATAACTGATTAAATACTGATTGTTATATATGGTTATATAATGTTATATATAACTGATTATGGATTATCCCTTGATTTTGGAACTGGGCTATAGCGGCTATAACCCAACTTACCAGTTACTAAAGGCGATCCTCCAAGCATGCCATTCCAGGCATACCACACCGGCACCTTCGGGTGCGTGGAACAAGATCTGGCCCAAGCGGGTCAAAGCACCAGGCTGGCTCCGGATCGGCACCTCAGTTCAAAGGATCCGCCGGGATCTCTCCGTTTCACCCCAAGAGGTAGTAAATTGACTGGCAATCAACCGTAATTTCATCAGATTTGATCATATTGTTATCAACAAAAATTGGGATTTGCTGGGCAATTGGAATTCACCCCATTTGGGATTGTCCAGGTGGTACCCCATGAGATTGTGGGTAATCCAATTGCTGGGAGTGCTTCGCCAGGAGTCTCTTGATTCATTGATGATAGGCCCATTGCTGTGCACCATCTGAAAACAAGGGTCTAACATGGTCCTTGGGGATCGCTTGTTTGGGATAGGATGATCACAGTGATGAGCAAGACTACGGGGTCATCGTTGCAAGTTGGCAAGTATACTAAGCATACTAGTTCCCAAGAAGATAGAAATGTGAGTTTCCACTATTTTGGATTTTATTGTTCTAACTTTCTGATACTTTCCGTGTATATAATCTTAAAAACTCAAAACGCAAGGTCAGAATGCGCAGAATGGGCGGCCAAACGTTATTTAGGTGGCCCCCTTGCCTTGGCCTTGGCCAAATCCCTCCAGCTCAGCACACCCTCCAGTAGGAAACATGGCGAGTGGGAAATCCCTACATAAATTAGGGCATTTACAGTAAATGAACAACATTTCAGAAGTGGCTTTGTTTCTTTGTGCTTCTTTAGCCTCTAAGTTTCGATGCAGCTTGACGCACCACTGCAGGTATCATTCCGAAGGATGCTCCCAGCATCGAACAGCCCAGGGACATGTAGAATCAAACGTCCATTCTCCACAACTCTGGCATCGGGATGCCAAGCCTGAAAGTTGGCCAAACAACAGCGGATCTGCCCTGACCATGTTTGGTGACGATTTCGGAATGCACCTTTCAATTTGAAATGCAACATTCGGATTTGACCATTGAAACAATTACTACTGTGTTACAACCAAAATCCACAAACCTGTGCGAATGAACTCATGGTGCAACATACCATCAAGTGGCATTTGCATAATATTGGTAAGAAAACAGCATCAATATCATCAAGAACATCAAGGATGCGCTCATATTTTTCCCTGTGTTGAGTCAGGATGATTGGGAGTTCCATCTTAACTTTTGAGAGGGAATTTTTGGATGATTTTGAGTGTACAGCCAGGGGGCCACATTGATTCACAATGTTTCATTCAAGTCACATTAAGATGTTAACCTAAGATTGTTGAATGTGATGCAAAAGGGATTTTTTTGACTGCGCCCTCCACACAGACCCAAAAGGGATTTACGCCCCCTCAGTTTTTGGAAAGTCAACCATCCAAACCAATATTCAACCATTCTATAGTCTATAACCTTTTGATGGCTGTTTTATAGGCAGTTGGTTCAAACATTTTCATAACATGTGATAATAATCATTACAAAGTCATTATCCCACAAATAACTGATTGCAATACAACATGTTTGAAACCACCGGCTAGGCTCAGGTCGAGTTGCGATCATGCCGCCCGGTAGCACGACACTCAAACGGACACGACCTGGCAAGGACAGAATCCAGGGGAACCTGTACAAGAAGCATGGCTTAAGCAACAGAATTTGGGTATTTCAATTGGGTATTTCGATGGGTTATTTAGATGGGTAATATACCCTCTGGTAATTTAACATAGCTATGGAAAATCACCATTTTTAATGGGAAAATCCACTATTTCTATGGCCATTTTCAATAGCTACGTTAAATTACCAGAGGGTATTTAGATGGGAGTTATGGCCAAAAAGGAGAGAGATGTCCTGATGGATTGATGAACGAGAAAAGACGGCAGAAAACAATGGCCTTTATATACATTGAGATGGACTATGACACCCACAACATCACTGGAATATTATGTGATATAGCATGATATAACATGCATAATATATATATATATATAGAGAGCTGCTTACTTCCACCCCCAGGCTTCGCTTGTTTGGAAAAACTGCAGGAAACAACCTGTTCACGGCCAATAGATTGTGATTTCTCATGGTGTCTGCTACATCAAACTATATTCATTTTATATATATATATATATAAACAGGAACTGGATGTATTTACCAGGGTTATACCACAACAATTCCCAACATATCTGAGTCATGTTTGGGCTACGGTCCACGTACTGACCATGCAGTTCCGTTCTAGTTACCTTTCTAGGAACGTCCACTGAATCATGTCTACATCGAACACACTCAGCAAAAAAGAAGGCGAGTGAAAGCCTGTGAACATGATCGTTGGAACTTGATATATACAGTAATATGATGGAAATAAACCCAGCCATAAATAACACTTAACTTGATTAGTTAATATTTTAATGATCATAAAGGAACTAAACCCAGCCATAAATAAGACTTAACTTGATTTGTCCAATATTTTAATGACCATTGTGCATCTAGTCTTTGCAAAATACGGAGATACAGTGTTAATCTTTGAAGTTATTTGAGTGTATAGGTGGCCTGGTCTCAAAAATCTGGATACTTCTCCAGTTTTCAGCCTCGAATAGGATGAAACTTACATTTTTTTCTGAGCCAGGCTTAGTTACTGTTACTAAACCCATCTAAACCCCATTATCCCCATTAAACCCCCGTGGATCGCGCTGTAACTGACCAAACCCCCATGGCTTTCCCATCCAGCATCGATCGTTTTTCAAAAGCGCTCTTGCTGTGGGCCTGGATCATGGAGATGTATCCTGGGCACAGGCGGGAAAAGCACATATCTGTTGTTGAACTTTGTTGACTTATCATGATTTATCATGATTTCCCACCACGAGAATGTTGCATTGTGTTTTTGAGGTGGATAGCCCATGAAGCCCATTTGAAGACAAAGCCAGCTCAACGCCGAGCTTATCTCGATGGAGATGGTCGAAGGCTATGGACACAAAAAAGGTCGCATGATAAATGCGATGTGACTTCCTCCATTGATGCGCACAAGGCATGCCATGATTTTATATAATCAAATGCAACAAGCATCCAAGCTCCTGTTGCTGAAAAGTTTCCATATTGCTTACAGAGTTTATTTTTGCTGAAAAGTATATGCCACATCTCACCCAGCGCTCATCTCCATTCGACGGGTGAGATTTGATCTGACGACGGGAGATTCCCAAGTTATACGTATACCCTCCGGTAATTCACTATCTATGTGACATAGCTATGGAACATGACTCATTTATAGATGAGTCATCTATTTTAAAAAGTGATGTTCCTGTAACTCCTGCAGGCTTTAGCATCAGGTACCCCTGTGAAAACTCATAATATATACATAGAACCTCCAGAGAAACTATGAGAGATTCACCCTCCAAACCCTGGAACATGATCTAAAATGAGAGATCCCTTCTGATCTCTTCCTCACTTTCATGAGACAAACGCTAGAACAAAACAATCAAAAACACTGAGAAAACAGCCGAAAACTCCGCCCTCCCAAGTCATCCATAGTCATCCCAAGTCTTTCAGCCCTGCGTCCAATCCGAGTCTTCCGGCTCGGGAGCTGCTTGGCAGCTGCATAGGCCTTCATGGCCTCCAGCTCTGATCCGTCGAAGCCCTGCTTCCGCAGCATCTTCAGCACAGCATCACCTCACAACGGGCAGGGCAACGTTGTGATAATGTCTTGGTGGGCCACATATGTTAATATATGTTAGGTGTTTCGGTGTTTTTTCCCCGTTAACTTTAACCAGTTCCAGGAAAATTATATAGATTTGGCATTTGGCTGATCTGGGGCCGCTAATATGTCAATCCATGACGGTTGACAGATGTTGACACTTGACACCCTTTTTTTCTGGGGCTGCCATTTCTAACTCATTAGCAGGCAGACTGGATATTTAGCAATGGTGCCTACTGGTCCTAAATCTACATCTTCTACAACCCACAAGATCAACCAAAACCGACATGTTAAACCATGGTTTCCCAAAGAAACGGAAGCCACCAATGGTGGATTTCCATGGATTTCCTATATCTATGTCTGTCAATTTACTGAAGGTATCTGAAGAGTAAAAAACATCACCATGAGCCCCGGCCTGCAGGAGGAATCAGCCACTCACCATCCGAAACTTTGTGCGAAAGGAAGGCCTCAACCCGCAGCGTTCGGTGGCTATGATTGGTAGCACGTGGCAGGTCGGATGCTGCTACCATATTCTATAACCGTATCATTTTATGTGGGATCCACAACAATGAACCAGGCCCAATTTGCGGCTTATTATTATTGTCTGTACCTCTCCAACTGTTGAAACTGCAAGTTTAAACAATTTCGGGACTTTTTCACCCTCCAACATGATCCAAAATGAACAAATATGGGTATGCTGCTGTGAAAAAACAAACATCCCCAAACGTCGATTTCTAAGAAAACAATGGCCAACAAACCAAACAGGTGGGCCCGCTGGTGCCCCACTCTTCAACGGCGAGGAACTTCCCTCAACTTGCCCTTCACGTCCGACACGGTGTCCCCAGCGATCGGCAACAAATCTGCTTTCCTCAGCTTGCCTTGGTCGCATGGCACCATCATCCCAGGCGACCCAAGGAATCACAACAACCCTGACGATGTCTACTGGGGAAGGCCAGCTTGGTACCTTCACCGAGGATAACATGGACTGCGGTGAGACAAGGGCCGCCTCCGCTCCGAATTCATATTTGGCTCAGTCCCAAACGTCTTTTTCACGACTCTGGCTTTTCGCGCCACCCAATCTGTATATGTCAACCATTGTCAACCCATTCCAAGATGTTTCAGTAGGCAAGCCACTCTTGTTCTTATTCTGGGCGAAGAATGATAAGGCAAATTCGGTAAATTCGGGAGCGGCTTCATCGTCATATCCCAGCCGTCTTAAGACTTCTTCTGCAAGAGATTCGCCAGAATCTGGCACGACAAAAGGCCCACCTGTGAAAAGCGAGAAATGACTTGGATAGAATCATTGGGAATCATTAGGTGCTTGTTCTAGCTATAGGATAACTATAGGCATTCATGATGATAGCACATCTGCCAGCATAAACTGCATAAGCAGCAAACAAACAAACAAACAAACAAACAAGACAAAACAAAACACGTTTGACCGGCAGCTTCTGAAATGCACTTGCCGAAAAACATCCTTTGGTGATGCTGTATGCTTTGCGACTTATGTAGAAGTCCTTCATCCTGGGAGTCAAGTTCCACGTGTCAGCGCAGGGCAAAATAAAGGCCATCTGCTGCTGTTTGGAGGTCCACTGTCGGGGTTCCTCAAGCACCCGGGCCACTGCGTCCAACAAAGCCCAGGGTGGATAGACTGGCAAATCACCCAAGGAATTGGCGAACCAGAACTTCACCAAGGCATGGTTCCAATATACATCCTGTCAGGGGCAGGCCGCGCAGGCATGATTTATCACGACTTCGCATCAGCAGCCGATGAGAAGAGATATCCAACCACCTGCTCCGGACATTTATTGCATTGGGGTTTCCATTGATGAACAATGATGAACGCATATGTCCATGAAAACCGCCCAGAACCGCCCAGTTTTGGCACAGATTTCATCCACACTATTGCTATGGGTCCAAGCCCTGATGTCCTGGCGAACACCAAAATAGCTGGTAAATGGGGTGTCACCCCCCACATATATAGTTCTAAGATATGATATATCCAAATATGGCATAATTGTCATTTATTCATCCTCAACTCCAAAACTTTGTCCTCAGGGCTGTAGTACCCTAAGTCATTCAAGCGCTCCAGAACCCCGTTCAGCTGGGCATAAGGAGCTTCAGGTCGCAGCAAGCTGTTGGTTTCCACCTGGTAGAGTCGAAGGCCCAAGGTGCGTTCTTGTAGCTAGAGTGACAAGGATAGCTGGTAGGCAAATTACTTGCAAATGTAGTGGATAACTGGTATCTGATTGATGTCCGTGTGTCTCTCTCTCTCTCTCTATCTCTCCCTCTCTCCCTCCATCGCCCTTAGACCGATAAACGGTCTCTCTCTCCCCAATTTTTTATGGATGTTTCCCATTCACAACATGTTCTTACCCAGTTGCAAGCAAAAACCATCCAAATCCAGTCCCGGTGCGCCTCACCCCTTCCATCAGCACGTATCGTGGCTTTCACCTCAGTGAGGAGCAGCTTGACTCTTGTGTCATTGGATTGGTTGAAGGGGAAACCTACAGGAAACCATAATTTGTCCCATTAAATCTGAGGGGTTTCCTGTAAATGTTCCCTTCAACCAATCCAATGATTGTGGCTGCTTGTGTGTTTGAAAAACGATTTCGACATGACATTTTTTTGTGTAGGAATTCAATGACATTTCTATTTTCCAGGGTAGCAGTGAAGAAATGGTCGTTTGAATTGACAAAACCATATGCAACCATTAAGACAACAACAATCAACAATCCCAAACATGTAAACTCATACATTGAATATCGTTCCAGCGTATTGAAAATAACAAATGAATACACATGACGACAATGTATAAACATGTTCAAGTGTGAGGCTGAACAAAAAGGACTCCTTTTTTCTGACTTCGTTCTCCATTCCCAACCCTCCGACCTATATATGTTGTCCATTCACAAAACAGAAGCCATTGTTCAAAAAATAATGTCCCAATGTGTTGTTGGTTCAAAAGCCTCATACCCATTGATCCATTTCTTCACCAACACAAATCATGTGAGTGGCGGACAAAATTACTTTCCGCTCGCAATGGACATGGCCAAAGTGGGTGGTCCGGTTGTGAAAGTTTGTACTTCCATGCTATGTGTAAACATAGTGTATCGGTAAGTGGGTGGTCCCCTATCGGTTGTGAAGGTTTTCACACAAAATTGAACATCCCAAGTCCACTCCCTACTACTTCAGTCTTCCACTAATTTTGTCGGTTACTGTGGCAAACCCAATGCCATTATATGTATGCCATTAACATATTAACCACCAAATCACCAACTTGGGATGGTTAAAAGTGAATGCCAACCCAAGTCTGGTGATACTGGGGATGGCTGATTAATTATGTTGGGTTTGTTATTAAATATACTGTTGGGTTTGCCATATTTTTCTAGGCTAAACCCTTTCTAAACGTCCAACCCAGTCACCCTTTCGAATCTTCCCAATTCGTTCGCAGCTTGAAGCACTGACACCTCGACAGCTGGATTGCTTCGATACAGTTCTGTCGGGCCAGGACGTCCAATGGGAAGTATCACCGTCACGGGCTTGCCTCGGCTTGGTAAGATCCGGGACCTGACAAAAAGGCTGGAGAGAGAGAGAGAGAGAGATAGATAGATAGACGTAGATAGATAGATAGATAGATAGATAGATAGATTGATAGATTGATAGATTGATAGATTGATAGATAAATAGATAGATTGATAGATAAATTGATAGATTGATAGGTTGATAGATTGATAGATTGATAGATTGATAGATTGATATATTGATAGATTGATAGATTGATAGATATATAGATAGATTGATAGATAGATTGATAGATATATAGATAGATTGATAGACAGATAGATTGATAGATTGATAGATTGATAGATTGATAGATAGATAGATAGATAGATTGATTGATAGATAGATTGCTAGATTGATAGATTGATAGATTGATTGATAGATTGATAGATTGATAGATAGATAGATAGATAGATAGATAGATAGATAAATTGATAGATTGATAGGTTGATAGATTGATAGATTGATAGATAGATTGATTGATTGATATATATTGATAGATTGATAGATTGATCGATAGATTGATCGATAGATTGATAGATTGATAGATAGATAGATAGATAGATTGATAGATAGATTGATAGATTGATAGATTGATTGATAGATTGATAGATTGATAGATAGATAGATAGATTGATAGATTGATAGATGGATAAGTTGATAGATGGATAGGTTGATAGATTGATAGGTTGATAGATAGATTGATTGATTGATATATATATATATATATATTGATAGATTGATAGATAGATTGATAGATTGATAGATAGATTGATACGTTGATAGATAGATTGATTGATAGATTGATAGATTGACTGATTGATTGATTGACTGATTGATTCATAGTTTGGTAGATTCATAGATTCATAGATTGATAAATTGATAAATTAGATAGATTAGATAGATAGACATGTATGCTTAGCGAAGAACGCAATGTCATGTGACATTGAAGCCATGTCTTCAAGGCCTGGCAAACCATTTCACCGGAACAGACGTACATGATCGTACATGCAAAATATATGGCATATAGTTGATTTTCCCATTAATAACATGGTGGATCTTTCCATAGTTATGTAAACGTTTACCAGAGGGTACCTGGATAAACAAATAAACAAGGATGACATATAGCTGGTTGGTGGTGTCAACCCCTCTGAAAAATATGCTTGTCAATGGGAAGGATTATCCCATATATTATGGAAAATAAAAAATGTTCCAAACCACCAACCAGGTACATTATTAAAGAGCACAGCCTACTCCTCATGACGCCCTGCTGATTGGAGCTTTCCCCCACTGCCACTGACCTACATCCATGGAACAAATGGGAAAAGGTAATCTTGTGTCAAGCGTCCGCAGCTAGCCACTTCATTAATCGCCTCAAAGAAATCCTTGTCGGCCGTCAACAGAGCAATTCCTTGCTGAAAGTGGGGATAAAACCAACCAAAAATGAGAAATAGTGAGAAAACCAAACAGAGATCTATGTGAACACATGGGGATGCAACTCGCAATATAAGGTTTCTCAACCATTATACATATTATGATAGCACCCATAAGTGCAATTAAGGGTGTGTCTGAAAATGGGGTGTATCCATCTTTGATGATTTGTTTGCTGGCTGATAGCTTGGTTTACCACAACGGTTTCCATGGCTTCAATTGGGAATCTCGGATGGCCCAAAAAGTAATAACCTTAAATCTTAAGAGGTTTCGAACAAATAAACAACTGAAAAAGAAAACACACAACTCACCACCAAAATCACCACCAAAGGCTGAAAAAGCTCCAAAAGTAAAGGACATCTTGGCCATGCTCTTCAGTTCTGCAATGATCGCCTCATCCGTGGAATCCTTGCTGGCATTCCACTCCACCGGCTGGGAAAAGACCAGTGGCTCTTCTTCCACGAAGCTTTGCAAGCGCTGATTCTGAAAGCGTCCTGGGCCACAATTTTATGGGATAGGGCCAACACCAGATCACGTGTGTCTTTTTTCACTGGTCCAACTTTCAGATGAGGAGTCTTAAAAGAAAATGGAATAAGCATGAAGTTGCTCAAAGTGATGAGCCAAACACATCCAAAAACATGAATTGTTTAGCACCAGAAATCTCAAACAGTTTCCAATCAATTGCCCGATGCCCTACCGACGCCTGCTGGTCACCACCTGTGAAAGCCTACGTCGCCTCGGTACATCCTCCACCAAGGTATCGACAGTAGATCTAATCTCAAAGTCCTAGCTACTTAGACATGCATGACATCATATGGCCAAAAGATGTCAAAACCAATCAATGATCACACCTGATCAATCTGTCAAGCCAGAGATTTTTGGCAACCAACTAGCCGTAACTAGCCCCCTTTGCGTAACTTCCATCAACTTCCCAACGTTCACCAAGCCGTGGGGCCTGGCGTGGCAAAGATGGTGGTTTGCACCTGCCAGCCTTTCGCCTGCAACATCTGCCGCGCTTGGCAGATGTGCTCCACACCGTTGCTGTCACCGTCCACCAGCAACTCGCAGAACCGTCGTTGGGCTCGGCCTCAAACAACGGGAAGATGATACACAAAGAGAAGCCACTGATGAGACCACATTGGGTCAATACGAGTCAATATGTATGTAGAGGATTGTAGAGGTGTAAACATATATGTTCATTGGTTGGTACTACCCATACAGTAATTAATCGGATGGTTGATGTCACCGACGAGGCTCACAATATGTGATCTGAAGTCTGATATGTATTGATATGTACATATTTGATAGAAGGAGTCGGAGTCGGAGTTGCGCAAAAAGCAATATTGCACAACATATAGATCAAGTTGACGAACTGGAGTTTAATTTGTCCTGACAAGGTTTGAAAACTCCAACTTGGCTGCAACATCTCCTTATCTAATCACCAGCCGAAAGCCAACGCCAACGATGCCACTGTTCTCGTCTTCCTTGAGGATACACAATCCCCATGGTTTACCATCATTTCCCCATTCGTATGCATTGCGCATACATACACACATACATATACACACACACATATAATAATATATATTCTACTTTTAGTGTATTATACGGTCTATATGCGTGCGAGTAGCGTATATAAACCCTAAATCTGAACCCGACCCAGTTGTGCAAAGCCGCGCCGGGACGACCAGAGCCGCGGCAAGCGTCTCGCCACCGTCGCCACCGTCGCTAGCGTCGTCGCCGGGCCGGACAGGACGCACCGCGGGCGGGGCGCTGGTACCGAAACCGGTGCCGCGAACGGTGTACCATGGCGGATCACGGCACTGCCAGGATGCATCATCCTGGAGATATCTGGAGATGATATTAATACATGCTACTTTTCATGGTCAATCTGTGCTAGCTGCTAGGCCATTGAAAAATATATATCTTGCTGGTGATGGTGATTTTCCATTTATAGCAAGGATTAAACTACCTGTCCAAGGTTGGGGATGTGTCTAAGGATGGTTCTTCACATTGACTGGCCCTATTGAAGTTGTTCAAGACAAAGGTTTTTTCAGTGCGGGGAATACCACGAAGCCAGCTCCGTGTTCTGGGAAAAAAACAATTTTGGTCACCTTTTTGGACAACGGAATCAACATACAGTACTAAACTTAACACATGACAAGTGCGATGGATTGCCATTGGATTTCACACAATATTTCTGTCATAGATGAGCCACATAGGCGAAGCTGCATTGCAATGAACGCCTAACGGCCGAATTGCCGTTAGCTGCAGCCGGTTGAGCTGCCCCCAGGCATCACAGGCCAGGCCATCTGCAGCACCTGTCTTGCCAAAGAGGTCCACGAAGCGTTCCAACGCCTGGGCTTTGAGGTTTAAAACATCACCTCCCAAGGGAAAACCGACCACAACCCCCCCAAAAAAAGATTCTATAAATATATTATATCATATATATCCAACTATGGTTTTGAATATAGTTTTCTTTTTCAACTCGTGATTTGTATTGTCTTTCCTTTGAGATCTCGCGTGGGCCTTAGAGGCCTTAGAGTGATGCAGAAACAAGATCTCGTGTTCTTTCATATAGCCCCCCAAAACGATAGAAACGTGTTTCCAGGATGGTGCAAATATGTGCAAATGATCTTTTCAATATTAATCCTTTCCCCATATTTTCCAGCTTCCCAACTTGTCTATCTTTTCGATTCTTTTCTTGGGGTTCCTCAAAAATCATCATAAAATCACAGCAGAAATGCTGAAATCTCTGGGTTCCCCCAGCTGGTGCCAAGGAGAAAATCTCGGTCTTGGCATAGACAGTGCCCTCGCTGGTGCTGGCAGGGTCCTGCAGACCATCCTTGCAAACCAAGCATAGGGTCCTCAAGGCGGAGGTTCTTGAGATCGAACAACACCATTTTTTTTTGGGGGGGGATACTGTCCAAATCAAGATCATCCAATCATTTTTTGTTTTTAACTATAAGACCATTTAAACATATTTAAGACATATATGCATTGTATTGCATAGTCATGTTTTAAACTTTTATAGCCATTTATATACACACTGTACACACTGTACACTAATAATTGTGTGTTGTGCTTCGGTGCCCTGTCTCCATGTTCGCCCAAAGCACTTCCAGGTTTCTCGATCGTTGGAGGGACCAGGGTAGTTGGTGGTCGGAAACTGCGAGAGCAGCGCGATCGCCTCGGAGACAACCGATGGGACATCCATCGAATTGGAGAGTCTCAAGAAATCCCTTGGCATGTGCTGGACATCTTCACTATGATTCTGGAAATGTGCCTAGAGATATTGTGAATATCCAAATACAAATAGGGAAAAACTTGTTGCAAAAAGGTCAAGGAGGAAGCAAACTAGTCTTAGGTCTGAGGTCTCAAACAATGACTCATTTTTGCCACCACCAACGCAGAGAGATAAACGAGTCCTTGCGACTTTCTGGGGCAGTTGTTTCTGGTAGGGGCCCATTAGTCATTACTGCATGGGAAGTTGTTTGATGTCAATTTGGGTAGTTGAATTGGGATGTAAAGCAAAGATCATATCCAACACTGGACCGTTTGTTGCTTGTCTGCGCATGTTTCGTTGCTAAGCAGCTCCTCATCTATGTTTGGTTTGACCTGTCATTCAGATTTACACCCTGAGCTAGTCAAAACTCATCAAAGTCCAAAGTATTCCAAATTCAGGTCAAATATACAAGCACCAACTACAACTTCTCTCACCAGCGACTTTTGCAGCTTGCTGCTTCGTTCCCGGCCTCGCGCTGAATCTCTTCAAAGCTAACCCCATCAGGCCATGGCAACTCCTGGTTTGGTCATGCGTCAATTATTGGCTGTTTGGCTGGAGAGATACCATGTGAAATCGGTAAATCCAGGCTATTAATGACGCAGGGAATCCCGGGTCGACATTCTACTTTCGAAGGTTGACATGAAATTGTTTTAAGTACTCCTCTGTTGACACCTGACCCAGTTTATTGCAGGGACTCTTGTCTATCCACACATCTATTGATCTATGCGATCGATTCGATAAATAAATAATATATCTATTTATTTATCTATCCATCCATTCATCCATCCATCAATCTATCTACTGTATCTAATTGCTGTATTTATCTACTGTATATAATTACTGTATCGTTCTACTGTATCTATATAACTACTGTACCTATCTAAATTCTATCTATCTATCTATCTATCCAACCCAATCCAAGCCAATCCAATCAATCCAATCTAGTCTAATCTAATCCAATCTATGTTTATCTTATCTTATCGTATCTATCTATCTATCTAACTAACTAGCTAACTAAACTATGAATCTGTCTATCTATCTGTCTATCTATCTATCTACCTATCTGTTTATCTATCTATCTATCTATCAATCTATCTATCTATCTAATCTAACCTATCTACATTATCTAGTCAATCAAATCTATTTGATTAATCTAACGTATCTAAACTATCTAATCTCATCTATCTAACCTATCAGATCTAATCTATCTAATCTATCTAATCTATCTAATCTATCTAATCTATCTAATCTATCTAATCTATCTAATCTAATCTATCCAAGCTATCCTATCTATCCTATCGATGCTCTCTATGCTATCTATGCTATCTATCCTATCTATCCAATCTATCTGTCTGTCTGTCTGTCTGTCTGTCTATCTGTTGTCTGTCTGTCTGTCTGTCTGTCTGTCTGTCTGTCAACCTGTCAATCTGCCAATGCATCTATCAATCAATCTATCTATCTAATCTAAATTAATCTAATCTAATCTAATCGAATCGAATCGAATCTAATCTAATCTATCGATCGATCTACCTACCTACCTACCTATCTACCTATCTATCTATCCATCTATCCGATCTACCTATCTACCTATCTATCTATCTATCCATCTATCCATCTATCCATCTATCCATCTATCCATCTATCCATCTATCCATCGATCCATCTATCTATCTATCGATCTATCTAATCTATCTGTCTATCTGTCTATCTAATCTATCTAATCAATCTAATCAATCTAATCAATCTAATCTATCTAATCTATCTAATCTATCTAATCTATCTAATCTATCTAATCTATCTAACCTAATCTATCTAATCTATCTAATCTATCTAATCTATCTAATCTATCTAATCTATCTAATCTATCTAATCCATCTAATCCATCTAATCTATCTAATCTATCTAATCTATCTAATCTATCTAATCTATCTAATCTATCTAATCTATCTATCTATCTGTCTGTCTGTCTGTCTATCTATCTATCTATATATCTATCTATCTATCTATCTGTCTATCTATCTATCTATCTATTTATCTATCTATCTATCTACCTATCTATCTATCTATCTATCTATCTATCATTCTATTCTATCTATTCTATCTAATCTATCTAATCTATCTAATCTATCTAATCTATCTAATCTATCCAATCTATCTAATCTATCTAATCTATCTAATTTATCTAATCTATCTAATCTATCTAATCTATCCAATCTATCTAATCTATCTAATCTATCTAATCTATCTAATCTATCTAATCTATCTAACTATCTATCTATCTATCTAATCTATCTAATCTATCTAATCTATCTAATCTATCTAACTATCTATCTATCTATCTATCTATTTAAATTCTATTTATCTATCTATCTATCTATCTATCTATCCATCTATCTAATCTATCTATCTAATCTGTCTATCTAATTTGTCTGTCTGTCTGTCTATCTAACTATCTATCTATCGATCTATCTATCTAATCTAGCTAATCTAATCTAATCTAATCTAATCTATCTATCTATATCTGTCTATCTATCATTCTCTATCTGTCTATCTATCATTCTCTATCTGTCATATATCTATGATTATCCATCTATCCATCCATTCATCCCTCCGTCTCTCTTCCGATCCAATCCAATCCAACCCAATCCACATATCCACTACAATCTAACCCGTGATCGATATCTATCTTCTCCTACTCTATATGCAAACTATCGGCCAAGACAGCCGTTTCCAACTGTGGGATCTCCCACTTTCAATTAATTGAAAGTTACATACCAACTCTGACCCTTAAACTCCCAACTATCAATGACTGAAACTAGCACGAAACACATAAAGAACAATGGGTCTACAGTCTACAGTAGGTATCCACAGCCCCTTCCACTTCACTCCATGAGAATGCGTTCAGCAGGCACAGCACGTGCAACAAACCTGCGCCCGCTGCACAGCCGGGTCTTGAACGGACATGGACACACGAGAAAATAAACAAATCGCCCATGAAGCTTGAGAGAACCCAGAGTAGTTCTCTGTCTCTGTCTCTGTCTCTCTCTGTCTCTCTCTCTCTCTCTCTCTCTCTCTCGCGTCCCAAAGAGTTTATCAGAGCAAAATGGGGATGTACAACTCCGCTAAAGGTGGAGTCCCAGCAACCGATCCCGTGCACAAGAAGGAGACCAAACTAGAAGGCATAGATTTAAGCTGCAGGAGGCACAAACCCTTCAGAGCAAGAACTTCTAGCAGTTCTTGATTCGGAGGGCGGGTTACTAGGATGAGGCAGGATCTGCTCGAACATTGATATTGATGATGATGATGATGCTGATGATGGTCATCCGTTGTTCTTGCCTATACAATGCCATCATTTTTAACTACAGTAATAATAACTAAAGTGTAAATGATGGTATAGCAATGATGTGGTGCTTTACACAATGACACATGATCAAGTGCACATATTATTATTTTCGCATCATGTGACAGCGGCAACCACCTTGGCTGCTGTCAAACCTGCAACTGGACACAAACCGCCCCCCTGGTTTCACGCCGTCCAAGATGCTGAACCCACGGAAAAGCGGCGTCTTTGGTTCGTTCAAATGTCAGCACCCCCGAAGCATAGGGCAGCTGCCGCGGCTGCCAGACTAAGCCGCTGGCCTGGGTTGCACTGGCTGTGCATCAAACCCCGGGGGTCCCTGGTCCAACCACTGGTGAATCCAAAAAAAAAGGTAAATGATGGTAAATTGCAAATATATGGTGAATGTATGGCAAATATATGGTTAATATATATATATATGGTTAATGGTAAATGATGGCGGGATTTTCACCCCAGCCTCAGTTTGCAGAACGTATTTCTCCGAGGTGTCAACTTCATCAAGGGAAGGCGGCCGCAAGCGCCTGGTGAATCAGCTGGTTTCTGCTCAGCAGATTTCAGCAGCACCCAACTGCGTGGTGGGAAAGTATGAGAAGGCGCCATGTAGTGTTCAAGGAAAGGACACCAACGTCCAGTGGATCGTTGATGCAGTTATATTGTATAATTATGTAGTATAATTATGTAATATATATATAATGTATATATTATATTCATAGTTTGGTCTCTTTTGGGGGGTATGTAATATCAGGGTGTAGGATGGTGTAGGAGTGTTGGTGCCATGGATCCCCTCCAATGGGGCACCCCAGCAAGTGCGCCAGGGGCCACGGAGACCGCAGCAAGGCGGTGATCAATGCACCGGGGGCGCCCTGGGGTATGGCGTGGCATGGCGTGGCATGGCGTGGCAGCCGTTTTGTAGGCCCTAAGGCCCTAGGGATTCCTAGGGCCTGGTTCCATGAATTTTGTTATCATTCTCTTTATGACTTTCTGACTCGCTTGCAATGATTATCAATGATTCCATGAATTTGTGTAAGACGGGCTTGAGGTCATGCTTGTGAACCACATTTATTCAAATCAAGGATTCAAGGATTCGGAGTCTCTCATGCTGGTTTTGTTACATACATACCAGAACATACCATACCATAGCATACCATACCATAGCATGGCATACCATACCATTACATTACATTAGATTACATTACATACATACATAAATTTATATATTTATATAAAACAAAACATAACATCATATATAAATACCATTAAATACTGTAGATGTAAAAGTCCAGTTACATTACACTAGACCACCAAAACATCACAGCTTGGAGGATCATCCATGAATCGGGAATGGTTAATAACCCTGGTGATCGCAAGTCCCCGATTCGTGGCTTATCCAATGTATACATGTGCAGTTGCCAACCATTTACCTTCCCTTAATTTAATATAGACCCTGCCATGTTTTGGGGGCTTGGACGATTAGTTTCCACTACGTATATTTTCAGGGTCAAACTGCTACCAGTAGTTTCTGATTCCACTATATTTTCAGGGTCAAACTGTTAATTTCTAGTTAGTAATTAGTAAGTCCCCTAAGTGGGTTGTCGGAGTTATGAATGGCTTCTAACCCCAGTTACTAGCCATTCACTACTTACTAAATACCCTAGACTACCGTAAAACAGTTGGTTACTGGATGTTCCCCCCAAATTAGGGTAAGTTCATAGGTTTTGACCCATCCCGATACGGTGCTTTATATATCCCAGAGGGTTCAATGCAACCATCCACAAGATGTCCCAAAAATGGATGGTTTGTAAGGGAAAATCCCAATCTAAAATGGATGATTTACCCCAATTTCAGGAAGCTTCCAAATCGTGAATTCTATCCAAATTTTAGGAAACCTCCAAATTTTGCCAAATTTTAGGAAACCTCCAATTTTAGGAAACCTTCGGTGATCCGGAAACCTCCAAGTAGGCTCTGCCAGCCTCTCCCAGGCAGCCGATGGCCGCGCGTTCCGCTGCGGCGATCAGATTCCTCCGCGCCGCCTGCGGCGCCGCCAGGGCCTTCAGCGTGCAGGCAGTGGCGGAGGCGAAGTCCGGCCTGGGGCGAAAACCAAGGGAAAACCCATGGGAACATGTAGCAAACCATAGGAAAATGTATAGGAAAGCCATGGGAAAACACAATTAAAAGGGGGGAAATGGATGAACACGGGGGGTTCACTCCAAGAGACCAAGACTCGTGGCAATGGGATTTAGCCAACTTTATCGCCACTCTATTGACATGGTCAAACAATTATTAATATTATACAATAATGGAGTTCACAATGCATGCTGATTCATGACTGGCAACTAAGGAGGTTTGAATGGTATGACCCAGTATCAATGGGCGGGATGATAAACGATGTGATCTTCAGGTTCCCAAGTTTGAGACATGGTGAATTGGAGCAAAAAAATCTGTGGACAGCGAGCATGGGTCAGAAGCTAAATTCACACCTTATCAAATCATATTCATTACATTCACATATAGAAATAAAATTATATATATGGTAACCGACAGAATTATGGAAAAAAAAAACGTTCAACTTAGACAGGCGGCGCCTGCGTCCGATTTTGCCATAATTGGGTTGTTCCCCATAAGGGTTCAAAATATCCCGGAAGTGATCCGAACTTTTTTTTCCATAATTCTTGGAGGTGGCCATTATTTCCATAATTGATTTTTCCTGTAAAATCAGGGGGCTAGGGCAGATTGACCGTTTTTTCCATAATTATTTTTTCCATAATTAATGTTTGGAGCTCCACCTGTTGGACATGTCATGGGTCCACAATTCAAACCCCTTTTTTTTGGGGGTTATGGAAATATGTATGCAAATGCAAGTATGTAGTATCAACCCAATTGGTGGCTTGGCAAAAGGATACATCCCGCATATGTATGTACTTACAACAATGAGTTTTGGTGGTGCAATTGTATATCAATGGAAGACTTAGGGGCATATACCAGATCTTTAGACACATATTTTCTATAATTCAATATTCCCCCTTAAAATGCATTCAAATTGCGAATCGATGGACATACAGTCACCGACAGAATTATGGAAAAAAAAACAATTATGGAAAACATAATTATGGAAAAAAAGGTTCGTAACTTTTCTATCATAGACAGGCGGCGCCTGTAAATTGAAACGTTTTGTTTTCCCATAATTCTGTCGGGTGCTGTAATGTAAAACCACGTGTCCATAGCATCTATCTGCAAATGCATATATATATAATATAAAATTATATGTGTGTAAATATATGATATATAGAAATATAATGACATATTTATGAATTATTTATGAATATACCTACTACTTGTATTTAATGTATCTATGATTATTATTATAAAAAAAAACATATATATATATATACATACATTTATTCTGGCAGTTCAGCTTTATATACCAGCTGTGCTTCCGAGAAGTTGACGACAAATGCGTGGCAGCCAGTAGCGCCAAAGCACGCGGTCTGTGATGAGCACAGAAGGTTCAGCGAGAACACCACTTCAGGTTCTTCCAGACGCAGCTGTCCTGCACCGGGCGGGGCGGGTGATGCCAAGCCGCCCGATGATTCGCACCGTTTCCGGCTTTTAACCTAGAAAAAATACAGTCCCAATGATTGAAATGATTGTTGGTGAACATCCAAATGGTTTGACACTTTAACCCACCACCCCATTACCATATGAATTACCCTGTGTAGATATGGAAGACCCACCATGTGCAGATCATTTGCATATCTATGTCATTTCTTCTGGACGGTATCACTTGATTCTGATTGTCATTCACTTTTAGATATGGAAACGCAACTCATCATGCGTTCTCTGATGGTTCTCTCAGCCCAACCATGGCAAAATTCCATGGTAGATGTTGTTTGATATTGGTACATCCAGATATCAACCAGGTATCAAGAGGTACCAAAAATAACAATTGGTCATGCAATTATCCAATTATCTTGATCATGATGATCCAGACATGGATCATACCATTGTTGAACCGCTTGATGATGCTTCAATTTGGCTGCAATTGCAACCTTGGCACCCACCATGCCATAGCTCCACACCTGTTTCGACCAGCCGCTGCGCGCGGTCCATGGTGATCAAAGAAGCTTCCCAGCGAACGTCGTCAGCGCCTGCTAGCAGCTCCAACCGGCTCCCCACGCAACGTACTTAGAAATTCTGTTCCAGTTATAAGTCAATAGTAGTCAATGTGGAACCATAGGTGTATGCATGTTTTTCCACCTCAACTGCGCCCCGGAGTAGGGAATATTGGTATATGTGAATATTGGATACAACATGATACAGCCATAGCTCCAAGCCGCTTCCTCCAAATCCCACCAGACATCAGGGATGACATGGGATGACCAGCGATCCAATCACTGAACGGGGGAGCATTCTGCTTGCAGCACAGGTGGTGTTTCATGTCAACTTAGGAGCGGCTAGGCATGTCGCAGCGGTCCGCATGATGTTGCTAAATGTTGCTGAATGCATCTGTCATAGCCAGACATGGTTTTCGATTCTTGTCGCTTGGCAGCTGGGAGAGGCAGAACAAAAAGGTCCAAAACTTTAATGCCGAGAAAGGCACCACTACACGAAGCAAACGGATCATCCAATGTGCTCATAGGGATTCCAGTCATGCCTTTTGAACAGCGATGACATATATTAGTAGGATACATCGAGCTCTCACCACAGCTGTTTTTTTTTGGACCTGGCTTCGGTCGCAACCATACTATGATATATATCCAGATGGTTCCATGGGTCGTTGTCATCATTTACTCAAATTTATGCTCATTGTATGTAATGTGGGTAAAACAAGGTGAGGGCGCCTCTAAGAGGCCGTGTGTTTCAGCACATGGATATATTTCTATTCAATGATGTTCCAAGGTTTCGCCACAACGAGAGCGGTTTTTCACAGATATCTATATTTTGTGGGTGTGTCAAAAGTCATGGAAGGGTATGGAAAAATGAGTCAAAATGATGTTCACGGTGTGATTTCAATGGTTTTTGTGGGACGAAAGCCATCATGTTGGAAAAGACAGCTGTACGCTTTTTCTTCTGCAGCGTAGCATATATATATATCTCTTGAAGTCCAACATCAACTTCTTACATGGTGTTGAACAAAATACCATATATTAGAACCATCTGCAGCGTAGCATATATATATATATATATGTATAACTTGAAGTCCAAAATCAACTTCTTACGTGATGTTGAACAAATACTATATATTAGAACCATCTGCAGCGTAGCATATATATATAACTTGAAGTCCAACATCAACTTCTTACATGATGTTGAACAAAATACCATATATTAGAACCATCTGCAGCGTAGCATATATATATATAACTTGAAGTCCAAAATCAACTTCTTACATGATGTTGAACAAAATACCATATATTAGAACCATCTGCAGCGTAGCATATATATAACTTGAAGTCCAAAATCAACTTCTTACGTGATGTTGAACAAAATACTATATATAATAACCATCTGCAGCGTAGCATATATATAACTTGAAGTCCATCATCAATTTCTGACATGATGTTGAACAAAATACTTGTATATCAGAAACAACTACCTGGTAGGACACCTCTACTATACCCAGAACAAACCCACCCCAAACCCACCCCACCCCACCTCACCCGAACCCCACACCATCATCAACGTAACATCAACCTATTAAAACGTAACATCACGGGGCATGATCAAAGTAACATCAACGTATCAACAGCGCAAGATCAACATATAATCAACGCATGATCAACGTAACGTCAACGTAGCATCCACGTCGCAGCACCTTGCACGCAAGAGACATGAACGTTATTACATCCCCCAGTATGATCAACGTAACGTCAACGTAGCATCCACGTCGCATCACCTTGCACGCAAGAGACATGAACGTTATTCACACCCCACCCCACCCCACCCCAAAAACCTCAAAAACGCACGGCCTCTTAGAGGCGCCCATACCTAAAACAATAATAGACCATCCCCCAGTCATCAGCATTCTTAAAGGCTGCTGTAAACGATTCCCAGTCTTGGGTCATATACTGGTATACATGACATGGTTTTTCCCACTCCCACCTTATCCCCATAAGATCCCCATTCTACCACCATAGAAAGGTCAAATCCACCTGGCCTCGTGTCAGCTTTGTACACTCTGGCGGCTCTACAGGGAACAACTCCTCTTGACCTTTCCATCCACCGGACTGCACGATCGATCCGTGGGCTGCCTGGGAAGGACAGAGCTGGAAGGGTCAAAGGTCTGGGGGGATTACCCTTTGGCAATAGTTTGCTATGGAAAAATTAAAAAAAATGACAATTTCATTCAATTTATGATCAATGATCAATCATGCTAAATGACTAAACATTGTGATTTTCCATAGCTATGTTAGCTCACTTGAGAGCAACATGGATTAGGCACCAGTTTAGTGCGAATTTATGGCAATGATCATGGGTAAAATAGGACCACTATGGACTAATGGATGCCAATTTTGTGAGGAATGATGAAACATGATGGAACATGCTTGTCAACAAGTATCAAATATTATCCACCAATGAGAATTGGCAATGACAAACCCACATGCAGGTCTTGAAATAACTCCCAACACTGGGTCTGCATAAATATGATGTGTCAGATGTCTCCTTCATGAGTCCATTCGCGAATGCTTGTGCTCGAGGCTACGTTTTCTAGGCACTGTGCTTGCACCATCTGAAGACGCCAAACGGCTTGGATGAGTAAAAGCTTCCGAAAACAATTTGGGGTATATAATATGTTGCAGACTGCCAGCCCCGCTGGTTAATCAACCTTGATTGATAAATTCAGGTGGTTGCTAAGAAAAGGATCATCTACTGTTAAACTTAGTGTTAAGCTTTCCTATCAAATGGTACTCCCAGCCGATCCATCTAGGGTTTCAAAGTATCGCTGTTTTAATAGTGGTAAAGTCTACCAACTTCGATCTGAACTTGGGTCTTTTCATGATATATATGTATATAGTGTATATATATATATATATGTAGATATATATATATATATATATGTACATGCATATGCATATTAAAAAAAATGTATCTACATCATGTATATATGTATATATGTATATATGTATATATGTATATATGTGCATGTGTTTTGTGTTCATCGAGTGCTCACAGGACCTCCAACCATCCAAGAAGCCACCAACTCGAAGATGGGCCAGCCAACCTCCAGCACCAACCCTGTGGCATGGCCAAGCAGTGCCGAAATAATGCTAGGAATGTTGGACGTTAACTAACTTGATTTATAACTAATTCCTTTAGTTTAACAAAATAGACGGTGGCAACTGTATAAAACTACAAAATAATGATATGATGATAACATTTTATAATTATACAATTATATTATATTGCAGTTATAACAATATATGAACCTATATAACTTAATAACTATAATATACATATTAAAAATAACAATAAAAACATATAATTGAAACTATTAAAATATAAAACTATACTTGTATAACTATAGATATAATATTATTAAATAGCTATGTATTTATATAATTATTTTATTAAATAGCTATATAACTATATAACTGATGGTGACAACACCTATCTGGATAAATTCTACAAATTCACCCTCAAAAGTTCCGCTGTTTTGGGTCAGTGACCATCATTCCAGTGAGGTCGCTGCAGTTCCCCCCATGGGTTTCCCAGGAAATGACCCAGCAATGATCCCACTCCACCAAGTTACAGTATAAGCCGCTTTTCCAAACTCTGTTTACTCTAGATGATTCTACCAATATCTATCTTATGTATATCAATATATTATATATCATTCAATATTTTCTATATCATACATATATATAGTATAGATACAGTATGATATGTATATATATATATATATACATACATACTGGTAGAAACATCTATAGTAACAGTCTAAATACATCCCCCCCATAAAACCCTAGTTCAGTAAGTTATTCACCACCTCCCATGTGAATTGATTCTCCCAACTCGGGGGTGCATCCCACTTAGTAAATGGGTCAAAACCCCCAGTTATATAGATAAATGGAATATCCCCACACGCACACACACGCGGATATATATATATACACATATATTATCAAAAATCATCATAAATAAATATAAATTAACTATCCATCCATCCATCCATCTATCTATCTGGGATGAAATATGGGTTAGATATGGTTAGATTAATGGACCATGGACCATAAACCACGAATCCGATTCGTGGCATGCGCGTCCTGCCTGGCCAGCCCTGGAGGCTCACCCCATGGATCACCTGCTGAAAGAGCTCCGCTCGCTCCTTCCCCGGCTCCGCGCAGAAGGCCGCGTGGAGCAGCGCCAGGGAGACGCCCACCAGGCAGCCGTCCCAGACCTATCCGTTGTGCCATGGGGAAGTTGATGGCAGATGTTATAAAATTATAAAGATATATAAAGATCATCCTTAAGGTTGATGTCAATGACCCAAATCACATGGGCACGATGGTCTAGATGGGGAAGTGTGTCCCATTGTTCAAAGGAAGTTTAGGAGAGAAACTTCTGTGTTACAGAAATTCAAAAGCAGCAGGGCCAGAGTAGAGAAGAATGTAGTACAGCAGGGAAGAGTAGAGTAGAGAGGTGCAGAGTAAAATAAAGTAAAAAAGAGTAGAACAATAGATTAAAGAAGGGGTGCAAAAAGTCTAGCGCTCACACCAGTACCATGGCAAAATCCATAGGATTCAGAAGTTTGAAAAAAAAACATCCAGCTATTGGGGTACCGCCATTAGGAAACCTCCATCTCACCCATCGAGGAAATGCCGTCGCCTTGGGGATGCGCGCAATCCAGTTGGAGAAGACGCACAAGACCATCCAGCGGACGGGCCTTAAAAAAATTGCTGCCTGACTTAGGGGGGTTGAGTGGGAAAATCCCCGATCAATAGGGGCTTTGTACCCAACATGATTCAAGTAATGTGAACACCTCCAGTTTATTAATAGGGAGCACTGGAGCACCAATGTTGATAGGATTTTATCACTTTGGGGTTAACCTTCCTAATCAAGCTTAACGAATCCGGGGGGTGGCATTAGAAACCAGCCCCTGACGCCACCGGGCCCGTCATCATCCACTTTCAACATGTCATACACTTTGAGAATAACATAAACCGGTTAGCGTCATATATAACCATATCTCCATTTACATCCATGTATGAATATCGAATCCTAATCGCAAAAAGTGTATATAGGCGCATCAAGCGTCCAGTAATCAAACATGGCAACTGACAAATCCTATAAAAAAAATAAGGTTCATGGTTGTGCACTGTGGATTTTCCATTACCATGCTGGATTCCCAAAAGGAAACTATATTCAACTCGTCTTCACTCAGGTGTCCCCAGAAACACATCGCCGTGGCGCTGATTTTGCCGGGGTTGGCGACTCCATGCGCTGATTTCGCCACGAAGAAAGGTCCAATCCACGCTGCAGGTCGTAGGGCACAGCGCGAAATCCAGGGCCATGGTGGTGCCACAGATGGACCGTGCGCAATGGCCATGCAAAGCATTTTAGCCCTTCAAAAGAGACTAAGATGTATAAAATGGCCATAGTGATATGTGTGTATATATATATATGTGTGTGTGATATGATATTCTACTTTAAACTGATATATAATGCAAAATGGTACATTATGACATATATTATGTTAGATGATGGTATGTAATGAAATTGCAGTATGATTATATCTATACAGTGGCCATGTATGGTCCGAATATTTCCCGTTTGGCCGTAGAATATCGTAGAATACCATTGCAATACATGATATGTAAACCATGGCAAAATGAAAGCATGAGAAAAACAATGAACAACAGGTAATGAAGATGAAACATCCAAAATATGAACTTTCTGACGCAGTTGATTTTAGCTCTCCTTTGGATAATGTGCATCTAGTGTGTGGTCAGCGTGACATAGCGTGACAGCTTCAGCTTGCGGGTGGAAACCCATGAAATGTCACAAACTACAACCGTGAAAAAATGCACATTGAGCTAAAAGCTTTTTTTTAAAAGGGACCAACGGACCAACCAGCAATAGGATAGGCAATAATAGGCAAAGCCCGTAGGTGTGCAATGATAAAGTTGCTGACTGAGGACTGAGTATGGCTGATTGAACCAGCTTCACCAGCTCCGTGGCTCAGACTTTCGCGTCGGAACGCCGTTTTTCTTTTTCAGGAGCCTCGGGATTTGGCGCCAACCGGAAAATAGAATATGCTATATATATATGATACCATATATACCATGTATTTATACATATATATATATATGTATGTATGTATGTATGTATGTATATTATGGGGATAAATAGAAAATACCAACCGGAATCATGATCATACATGATATTTATATGTATTTATGCCCCCCCTGCGTGTGTTTCGCTTGTCAATTCAGTTTCTGCCTAGGTTTGTCTATATAATTTCTTCATCTTTTCTCCGCCCAATGTAGACTAAACCTTTACTGATTCGTTCTTTACCAAACTATTGGAAGGCTTAACATGTCATTTGCCCAATCCTTTGGTTTGCTTCCTGATAGTAGTACACTCAAGCAACCAACCATTGCTTCCACTTGTTTATTGGGGATTTCCCGAATAGCCACGTTTGATTACCAAAAGGTAAGTCTTCGAACTCTAATGACAACCAATCCATCTAGACACATTTCATCACAATGTCACATCTAATGATGGTTAAGCTTGTTAAGTCTTCAATCTCTTATGAAAGGTATGTTCCTGGTATCTTATTAACTGGCCTCAGGAGCTGCAGCTGGCGGTAGGGCGCTAGGGCGGAAATGGACGTCCTATGGCGGAAATGGCAATCTTAGACTTTAGTGTTAAACCCAATTCTCAACTATATGGATTACTCTTGCGATATTTGGGGATATTGGTGTAATAATATGTAATAATCATCATCCCTACATGTTTGACCCCATGCCAAGAGACTATTAGTCTACTATGTTGTTCGTCTTCTAGTCTATGGAATTTATATTTCTATAATTTCTGACCGTCACATGGATGACATGAACCCATCCCCGTGCCCTGGGCTGCGTAATGGATGATGTAATTTATGACCCCCAGTTATCGTTGGTTCATGGGATGGTTTATTACTGGGTTTTGAAAAACATTACCCTCTGGTGAACTAACATAGCTATTGAAAATGGCCAGTTATAATAGTGGATTGTCCCATTAAAAATGGTGATTTTCATTGATTTTCCATAGTTATGTTAGTTTACCAGAGGGTATCCTTTTTAGAGATGCTATGGAATGATTCTCAAGTAATCTATGGAAGTAGTGTGGCTAATCTTCTAATATCTGAGGTCCGTAAGTACTCTGTAAAAAGAACATTGATGTTGTCGCGGTACATGAATTTCCGAATTTATAGTGACTAGTGACCAGTTGTATCCATTGCTGCAAGATTCATGCAAGGAAAAACCAAGCAATGAGAACACACTAAGTAACCTTAAAGAACCAAGAATCTGGATTTGAAGAAGGTGGTTGCTTGTGACATTAATGTTCAGGGGTGTAGGTCTTTACACGGGCATGTTTTTTTAATTAACAATTTTGGTCTTGGAAGCAGTATCAACTTCCTTTTGCATACTAGCTGGAAAGATATGTATGTCAAATCGACTGATTTATTGATTTCTTGCGTGCATGATCAGGCAAGATCCTGAACCAGCTCAGTTGAGATTAATAGTTCTACTGTATTTCCACTGTGTTTCCACTGTGACAGTGATCAAGCGTTTTTCTGAGTTTTTGCTTTTTTCACTCTAATTACATACTACATCATGTACGCTTCTTACATCATAAATATATATATATATATCCATCCGCCCAGGAACCTGCCTCCTCGACCAGCTCCCCAGGGGCCCCAGGATCTTCTGCTGGGGCTTCTGGTGGCCCTGGTGCTGGGCAACGCTGGGGGCTGTAAATGGGGTTGTCTGAACGTTGAGATACCGCGATTCATGGCTTTATGATTCTTTATGATGCTTTGTGGCCATTTGAATGTTGAACATGGTGATGATAAACCGTTGGACTTGGAGTAGCCCAGCAAACAAACCTATATATACAAACAAAACCGGTTGGTCAGTTGGGATTGCTAGTCATAAAGGGGCAGCCAGCAAGCTATTATACCTGGGTTACCTTAATTACCAATTGTGGGTTGGATCGAATGTTGGAACTGATCTAACACAGTGGTTCAATTTGGGAATGCCTGTGTTCTGGATACCGTATGATGCAGTGATAGGATTCAAAGGACGAAAAACCATAATGTACTTGGTGGCTCATCCCACTTACTAAGTAGGTTATATCCCTGGTTATAAGTGGGATAAGTAGGGTTAATGCACTTATAACTGGGGTTATAATAACCTGTTTTCTAAGTGGGATGAACCAGCAAGTATGTACATAACTATATGAGGATGACAAGTTACCAAAGCATCACACCGTAGACTCGACCGTGATCAACCTGCATTGATAATCATTAGGGATGTAAAGCTACCAACTACCACGATGAGCTGTAGCCCATAAAAAAGAATTCAAAGTCGTGCTGCAAACTCCTGAGCAAGTGTGGTTCGTTGGGTAAAGTGAGTTAAACCATAGACATCCATAGACCATAGAACACAGGTTTTTTATCCTTTAAACTTAAGTCATCTTAAATCACTTTCAGTCACGAATCACTTGAATCACTTCATCCAAGCATCAGTAAATACCTGATGAATATCAGTCATTATCAGTCGGGTAATCATTGAGCCCCCTTTTTCAAGGTGACCCCAATGGGGCTGGTGGTTTAACAATTGCCGCCATATCATGAAGCCAAAATTACTGGGGGAGCGCCAGCTGATTCTGGATGATACCCTTCCGTTTTGTCAAACGTAGCTCGGGGAAATCCCCGAAGGAGATGGGTTTTCCAGCTAGCCACGATTGATTACCCAATAGTTGGTTAGTTGTTTCCCTCTTTTCCACTTTTTTTCACTACTATATCCGATATCCCATGAATTTCCATGAATTTCCCATTAAATTCCATTGAATCCCTACTATAGAATCAACTTACAACCCCTAAATTAACTTCTGGGATTTTTTGTAGCCTCAAAATTTATACGCCACCGGCCTGAACTTGCACGAGATGAACCTCAGCTCGGCCAGGACTGAAAGCGAAAATGGATGAAAATGGGGCAAATTGAACTTGGTTTGGATGAATCGCTCGGGAATCAATCGATTGGTTTAAGGGAACATTTACAGGAACCCCCCATATTTAATGGGAACATCTATGGTTTCTGGTTAAGCTTGTCCCAACAAAAGCAATGCATTGAGGGAATCCAAATCTCTGGAGAAATTCAGATCCCAACTGGAGCAAGATCGCAGAACCGGATTCTTGGGCGATTCATCGATCTCTTGGACCTTCGGACAGCGATTGCAATCACAAGAGGCACCTATGGCATAATAGGATCTAATGGATGTCATAGGATGTCAAAACCGATAGCCGCCAAAACATGTCCCAGCTATCAAGTCGCAGTATCTTATGCATCTTAGGGCAAATAGAATTAGTACTTATTAAGACACCCTACAGACACCCTCTCAACTTCCAAACGCTTCCGATGTCACCCCAGCAGGTTGCTCCGAAAAAATAGCCTCTAGCTGCTGTGCATCCGATGCAGCTGCTTCCGACTCTTCTGGAGCTGTTGGCATGGTAGTGCCTCCGAGCTCGCCATTCTGTGGGGCCAGGGGTACTGCAAGCCTGCACAGCTCTGTAGAGGTACCCAAAAAAAAGTGACCAAAACCGTTGGATTTGGATCTGATTGGGATCTGATAGATTATCATTTCCCATAATTTCCAGGTTTCCAACTTTTGGTTCATCACTGGGGGTTGCTGCAGCGCCTAGTGTCTTAGTCAAAGAGCCCAAGGAGGAGCTTGAGGAGCTTGACATGAGGCCGCCAGTGATGGAAACCTCCAGATTCGTATCCTGGCCATGGATTGCCAATCCCATCGTCATGGTCATCATCGATTCGCATAAAATTGCTTTCATATACAAGCACACACGCGCACAAACACACATATATATATAATGGATATATGTGTAATATATCAATGTTGCATGTACGTGAAAACGCACATATATATATAATATAAAAAAAATAAAGCTATATGATATATTATATACAGTTAGTTATATATGTTATATCCATAATATAGGGCTTTAGGGGTGCTCATGGAGGCTTTAATGATGATCAAATTGATTTGAACCGAACCCCCCCGATGGAGAGGATTCCAACAAAAAGAATGGAATGACATGACTACAAGATACTACAAGTAGGCTTTTTATAGGGGCTTTATATTGGGATGGGATTGATTGTGGAGCAGAATCTGACTGGATTGAAGAACATTTGCGGAACACTCCTAGGTTTTTGCTATCCAAATGCAACATTCTGAATCAGTTTCCTGCATAGTGATTAATAAAGAGTACACCTGTATATTCATAAAAAAT